GTGGAAGTTTCTCTTCTGGATATCCAAAAGAAGTGAAATCATCATGCTAGAGACATCTGCAGTCCTGAGTTTATCATAGCTATTCACTATAGCCAACATATGTAGTCAATTTAAATGTCCATCAGTGGATGACTACAGTTTTAAAATGATATATATATATATATATATATATATATATATATAATGACCCAGCCAGGAAAAATCCATCACAGGCATGCTTGGGTTTTAGTCAATTCCAGATACAGTCAAGTTGACAACCAAAATTAGCCATTAGACTCCCCAAATTGTGTTTATTCATGCTGTTTATCACAGAGGGAGAAAACAAACTAGAAAAGAGTGTTGGGGCTTTGCCTCCCCAGTTATTTGGTGATTCCATTTAGATTTCTTTCATCTTGTGTGGGCAGGTATCATTTCCTGTCTGTCCAAGTAGTCTATGTCACAGAGACCACTCCTTTCTTGTAAGTGTTCAGTCTGGCTCTTTGCTCTGCTGCTGCTTGCCTGTGACTGTAGGGATAATGAGGTTCTGTGGATCTGCTCGGTTGTAATATGATCTAATTCTGTAACCCAGCAAAGCCAGCACTGTCTGGCCGTTTGTGTGAAGTGAAACACATAAAGCAGGCACTGATTCTGAACATCTCTGCAGAGGAAGTCTGGTTTTACTCAGTGAATTGGGGGTCATTTCTCTGTAAAGAATGCTTGCAAGTAGGGCTTAACTTCCAACTTGTGTCGGTTTATAGAAAACATCACAACTTGATAATGGTGCACACACCTGCAATCCCAGTTCTGGGGAAGCCGAAGAAGGAGTATCAAGAGTTCAAGGTCAATCTAGGCACTTACTTAGTGAGACCCTATTTAAAGTTAAACAAAACCATTGGGTAACTTTACCATTTGAAACTGTTCATTTTCCATGTATTTTCATTTCCACAATTAGCTCTTCCCTAACCACATAAACAAATGTAATGTGTAGAGAATTAAGTGAGTAAAGCTTGGCTTACTGACATCGCCCTATCCTCTAGGGAATAATAGGGCCATTTTGAACTGTGGCTGAAAATAAGATTGGAGCTAGTAAGAGAAACGGACAAGTACAGGGAAGCCAGCAAAAATATGATGAACAAAGTTGCTCACTGATGTCCATGTCATAGTCACGAAAAGCTGGAAATATATATTTATCTGTGGGGTCTGGCTCTGTAAACTGTAGCACCAAAGTGATAAGAAATTAAAACAAGGGGCTGGAGAGATGGCTCAGCAGTTAAGAGCCCTGGCTATTCTTGTAGAAGGCAGGGTTTCAATTCCCAGTTCCCACACGGTGCGTCACAGCTGCTTGTAACTCCTGTTCCAGGGGATCTGATACCCTCCATAGGGACCAGACATACACATGGTGAACAGATATACATACAGACAAAACATTCATATAATAAAAGTAAAGACATAAAACAAAGAAATTAAGAAGTACGTGAAATAAACTTTAAGTTACAGTGTTAAAAGAGAATAGGGTAAATTACAGAACATGTCCACTATGAAACTGTTTGAATGAGAATGGGCTCATATCTTTGAATGCTTGGTCCCCAGTGATTGAACTGTTTGGGGAAGATTAGGAGGTAAAGTCTTATTGGAGGAGGTGTATCACTGGGACTGGACTTTGCGTTTTCAAACCCACACCAGCACCAGGCCCACCCCCACCCCCCACCCCTACTGTCTTTTGGATCTGAATGTAAAGCTCTCATCCACTGCTCCAGAACCATGCCTGTCTGCTTCTGCCATGATGGTCATGGCCTAACCCTTTGGAACTATAAACAAGGCCCCAGTTAAGTGTGTTCTTTGATAAGAGTTGTGTTGGTCATGGTGTCTCTTCACAACAACAGAACAGTAACTAAGACAGATCTGATGTGTGGGTTTGGAAAACAAAGACAAAACAAATCTTTGAATCTGACATAGGTGGGATCATTCATTGCAAAAGGCATGGGAGGAACAGAATGGACAGCAGGCAGTCAGTCCTCTATGGGACTAAAGAAGGGTTCATGGAGCATTGAGTGATGGGAACTCTTCATTTTTTATTCTGGAGTTCCGTGTTTGGGGCCTTTATAGAAACCTAGTTATTATTTCATTTTGTAAATGAAATCCAAAGTTACTGGGCAAGACAAGCTGTGTGACAAAGAGAAATTGGAGCTTAGGGTGGGATTTGAGCCAAGAAGAAGGGAGATGGATCACTTGGGGGTAGTGGCTCTGGTGGTTATTACAGATGTTTTCATCCTGTGATAGTCTCTCAGTGGTGATTTGGGACTCCTGAAAACTTTTCAGGAGGTCCACAGAAGTAGATATAGGTGCACAAGCACACACACACACACACACACACACTACATCACTTCAAAATATGTGACCTAGAATACAGGGCCTTCAAGCCAGGCATTGGTGGCTCACGCCTTTAATCCCAGCACTCAGAAGGCAGAGGCAGGTGTATCTCTGTGAGTTCAAGGCCAGCCTGGTCTCCAGAGCAAGTGCCAGGATAGGCTCCAAAGCCAGGACAGGCTTCACAGAGAAACCCTGTCTCGAAAAAACAAACAAATAAACAAAAAAACAAAAAACAAAAAAAAAACAAGGCCTTCAAATTGAAGAAATCTAAAGACTTTTAAGGACAATTTCCATATGTAGTTTCTCTTGGCATATTTGAATTTTTATCTTATCAATGTCTACATTGAGAGAGAAAAATTTACTATCTTTAGGGGGCATATATTTATTTCTACTTTTGTTAAAATAATTATGTCCCAGTAACTGAACAGCCACATCTACCAAAGAAGGCGTTTATCTCTTGCCTTCTTATTTCCAGTTTTTTGTTGTTGTTGTTATTTCATCTATTAATCTCTTACATGCAGCTGAAGGCACAGGGGCTATGACATGGCAGACAACAGACAAAACCCTTGTTGTCATGGAGCTTATTGTTGGGGACAGAGGGAGACTCATTAAAAGGAGCTGGCAAAGAATCAGGAAGTGATGTTTCTGTGACAAAAACTGAACAGAGTGACAGACTAGGGGGAGACCAGGGAACTGCCTTTAGTTAGGAAAGACTTCCTTGAGGAAGTCATTCAAAACTAAGGCAAGCATGACAAGAGAGGACCAGGCTGCATTCACTTGGGGGAAGAACATTGCAAGCAGAAGGTGAACTGCTCCCTCAGGGAGGTGAAAATTGAGGGTCCAAGAGCTCCTTGTGCTGTTGGGGCTGGCAGAGGCTGAGAAAAATAAAGGAGAGGTCTTCCGGGTCACGTCAGGCCTTAAGGACAAGGTAAGGAGTGTGGATTTTATTCTTGATTTGATGTGAAACTATTGGGTTTGATTAAGGGAATAAGATGCCAGTTTAGGTTTATAAAGGGTTTCTCTGCATGCCTGGGGTTGTGGATGGGGAAGGGCAGAAGGAAGGGAGCCACTCTCAACTGTGAAGTCATAGGCAGGTGTCCAAGTGGGAGAAAACAGTGGCTTAGATGAACATGCTGGCTCTAGACTTGCTAATGGATTGAATATGGAGAGCTAGGAAAGCATAGGGCCACACACGGCGTCTAAATCTTAGGTCCAGGAAACTGAGCAATGTGCTTCTTGGGATGGGGAAAGTAGGGGAGGAGCAGATTTGGGGAAAGGGCTTTAGAGTGTGATTTAGGTGCATTAAGTTGAGGTTCACCTGGAAAATGTCAAGTAGGTAATATGATAAACTTGCCTGGAGTTGAGGGGACATTGGATAGAAACGTGCATGTGGGAGTCAGATCCACACAGTGTGATTATATTTAACACTCTGGAGTTAACCTTGAATTGTCATATTCAGTTACACTCGTATGTGATACCCTTGCTTGTTGACTGGATTGAACAGAGCAAACCTCCAGTGTGTCTGTGACAGTCTTCAGAGGGGATTCAGTCATGAGAATTCTGACATAATCTGTGGGTTAACCCACAGATGGATTCAACATTTGAGTAGACTATGGGAATATGGGGGGTGCAGTTGAAAGCAAGTCATTGAAGGTATGCTGAGAAGGACATGTCTTACTCAGGCCTCTTCTGACTTTGCCACACACTCCCATAGCCATGCCGTACTGGGCCACTATACCCAGTAACATGAGTTGTATGACCAAGGACTGAACCTTCGAAGACATGAGCCAAGTAAATCCTTAAGATGCTTTTCTCTCAGGGATTTGGTCACAAAGACATACAGATAATCCCATGTGCAGTGGTACTCTTCATTTGAGCTAAGCGTGTCCGATGGACTGCGTATGTGTGAAGGCTGGACCACCTTGCTCTTAAAAGTGGACAGTAAAAAGAAATGTTTGCTGGGCCTGGAGAGAACCTGCCAATGGGCTCCTCACTGTGAAGATCAACTTTTTAGTCATCATCACATTCACTACAGCCAAAAATCAGACAGAACCATTTTAAAGATGAATTCTAGATTCACAGCATCATTTAGAAATATTAGAAATTAATACTGAATTCCTATAGATGCCATGAATATTCAAGTTGACTCAAGCTGCATGGTACCAGGGTCTTGGTGGCTGTCTTCTTTTGTTTTAATGCTTCCTTGCCATGCTATAAGGCTAGAACTAACTCCAAATAAAGTGATATAAAAGTATCTTTACTTTTACGTGGCATTTCCATCTTTGATTTGACAGGTGATTTTATAATACCTTTGGCATATTGACATTTTGCATTATTAGTTGATCTTTGTGGCTTCTTCAATGAAGTTCACACTTGCAAAAATGATTCTTATCCCTATATCAAACTCTCTAGGCTCACTGCTGTTTTTGTTCATTTGTTTGTTTGTTTGTCTGACTTAACCATTTATTTTTAGCTTGAAAATGAGAAGTTAATGTGAGGTATATAGGAAAATGATTTGTTTGGGGTGTTTTTTATTGTTTTGTTTTGTTTGTTTGTTTTTTTACTTATTGGCAATAACATATAACCCAAAATACAACTGAACTCTTATTTATCTGGGATGATTCTTGCTCCTTGCAGATAAACTCTTCAGACCTCCAGCTGGCCATGTAATGAAGTCAGGGACCATGCCAGGTGGTACAGCAGCCACTGAAGAGCTATGTGTTGAGCACATTCATTCCACACCTGGAAGCACAGACAGGCACGATTCTCCTGTGGACCCCTGTGGAGGGATCAGCTGTGCCTGTGAAGTTGCTGATGGTTTGCCCCGGCTCCTGGACACCGACCACCCTCCTTGCCAGTTAGATGTGAGGCTCCTGAGACACAAAGCTTCCTGGATCAACCCAGTGTGTGTGGAGCAGCCCCTACAAGACTTATGCCCACAGAGACCAACAGTGCAGAAGAGTGGGAAACACTTGGTAGTGGACACTCTGTCTCCCTCGGGCCTTTCACTGTTGTCCCACAGGGACTCCCTAGCTGAGACGACATTGTCTGAGAGGACTGTGGATGTCAACTGCAGCAGCTCTGCTCATGGCCCTGTGGGAAAGAATGGTGACTTTTCCCTGGCTACAGAAGAGCAAGAGGTTCAGCCTCAGCACAAATCTCTGCTCAGAAACCCCAAGACTGTGGCCACTTCCCTATCCCCTAAGGAGGACAGTGCCCGTTTTGAGTCTACTCACTTGACAGCTTCTGCAGATGACGGTAACCCTATCTGGTGACTTCCTTTATTCTTCTTCATCCACATGTTTGTCTGGGCTTAGCTCAAAAGTCTGCCTATCATCTTTGCCATGAGAAATGAAGTTCGTGGCCTTCTACTTTGACCAGAAGCCAATGTGTGAGCTCATTTAGTGTCACCACAGCCCACACTCTGTGATGGTCACAACAGGTGGATTGGATATCATCTCTTCCTTCTGCTGAGGGACAGACAGGGTCATCATTTTAGTGCAGCATGGTTAAAGTGCTAGGCCCAGACCTTATCAGGGAGGGTCAGTGGTGAAGCAGGTGTCACTCCTAGATGACAGGTGTAAAAACACTCAAGGCTTTGTCTGCAGGGCGTGCAGTTCCAGAAGCAATCTTTGGGCTTATTAGCTTGTCTGCAGGGAGGACATTAGGAACACACAACCCACTGTGGGTGTGGAAGGCATTTGAGACTTGAAAGGAATTCACTATATAGTAGTGCTCCTTCGGGTGATGGACACACCTCACCCGTTCTAGTTCTGGCACAGACAACTGAGAAAAGAGCAAATTTGAAAACAGGAGCCACAGTATTCCCCTCAAAGACTATCTAAAACCCATTGGTGTGAAAACAAGGGCTGTACATATTCTTTAAATTGAAAACTCCTGGATTGCCAGGGGATGGTGGCGCACACCTTTAATCTCAGCACTTGGGAGGCAGAGGCAGGGGAATCTCTGTGAGTTTGAGACCAGCCTGGTCTACAAAAGCTAGTTTCAGGACAGCCTCCAAAGCCACAGAGAAACCCAGTCTCAGAAAGAAAGAAAGGAAGAAAGAAAGAAAGAAAGAAAGAAAGAAAGAAAGAAAGAAAGAAAGAAAGGAGAAGGAAAAGAAAGGAAAGGAAAAGAAAAGAAAACTGGATGAATTAGTCCACACAAAGTAACCGGCAAGGTTCAGCTGGTTGTCCTTAGTTTATGGTGAAGGGTTCATTATGAGCTTAGAGCCTTGCTTCAAATAGTTTGCAAAGCATTCTGCTGTTGTTGTTTGCTGCAGAATAACTTCAAGAGCTGTCACCTGCCTGCTCTCCCCCTAATATGTGTATTTGCTTCTTACTGTCTATCAAAGCGTAACTTTGAGACAATCAAATTTGAGCAAAATGCCTCTCAAAAGAGGCCTCCTCTTTCTTTCTCTTGACCGCCCTGGTGGTCAGTTCTCAGGGTAGAGAGCTGCTTGCAGATGTAGAGGTTGTTAAGTGAGACATGAGTTTGCTGTTACGTTGCCTCCGGGAGGAAGCCTTTCCCCACATAAACCATCATGGTAACAAGTTACAAGCAGCCACTGACTGATGATGACCTTTGAGGCCAAAAGCCATGTGTCATAGCTTTGTACAAGAAGTGGTTCTTCAAGTTAGCATTACTTTCCCAGCTTTGTCTTCCTCCTAGAAAAACAATGGGATAAAATGAACCCCAAAGCAAAGACAAGTACTGAGGCCCCTTTTGTCCAAAGGCAGGGTTTCCCAGCAATCCTTGCCAGTACCTTTAAAAGCTGTCCAGTGTTTTGAGGTGTTCTATTTGTTCTGTTTTTGAGACAGGCTCTCACTCTGTAGCCCAGGCTGGTCTTAGATTGGTGACAGTGCTCTCACTTCTAATTCTGAGTGCCGAGATCACGGGTGTGAGCCTTTATATCTGACAAGACTCTCTTGAGCTTGGTGAAGATAGTCATTCAATGTAATTAGGAAACATGAGCCTGGAAGTGACCGGGCTGTCTCTTCCTTTAGTGTGAGCAGTAGAAGAGACAGACATCCTGTGACAGGGGTTTTCTGAGGACACCCACATCTCTAATGGCAGCTGAGGAAGCATTTCCTGAGGCTGTAGACACAATCTCCTAGACCCTATTGTTTGAGCAGGACCTACATACTTACAAAATACCCTTGTATTCTGTATCTCCTTATGCTGCAACAGGTAATAATCCCAACTCAAGGCATGAGGGAATTTGTGATGAAGGCTTAATGGGGCTGGGCACCATTGTTCCGGATCTTGCTTTTCCCTCTACACTCAAGTCTGCACCTCTGACGTAGGGGCCAAACCCTGCCAACTTCCTGTTTTTGTTTTAAGACAAAGCAGCAATTTAGTTTCTTTTATCAATAGCGGCCTTCTAGTTACAGTGGTAGAGATGGTGACTAGCCCTTTACATCCTACCTGCATCCAGAGGCATCAGGGTGACACCGCCAGTGTTTGTCTGACTTTGAGAACCCACAGCCCCCAGGATGTTTGTAGAATCTTATTTTAATTTAGCTGGTCAGGAAACCTCAGCCACGTGGGCTGTCATGAAATTTTACTTCCTTCCAAGGCTGCAGTTAGCAGTTCTGTGATAGGAAGTACTCCCTTCGGTGCCCATTGCCAGTAAGGAGTGGGTGAAGATGCAAGGATGGATGACACAGTGCAGAAGATGTGGGGCTTGGCTGGAGGACTATTTGTTTTCAGATGACTTTGGGTAGGTAATAGGAACTTTGGGGCCAATTGCGCAAGAGCTGGGGAAGTGATCCTGTAACTCTTCAGGCCACCTTCCGAACTCTCATGGCTATTTCCCATGACCTGTTCACCTTCCCGCCATCTTGGCTCCACTGACCCATCCTTTTCGGTGGTTTTCTGCAGATACCGTGCAGTCACTCCACTGTTCCTGTAAAAAGGATTGACAGTAAGGCTGTGTCTACAGGCCTTGTAATCAGAAGGCTATTTCCTCTTCTGTCACCCACATCTTTCCAGAATGTGCTTTTTGTCTTAATGGTATTGAAGACTTGTACTCTACAACTGGCTTTGTTTGCTTAGATAACCTTTGAGTTTGTATTCACCATTTTTTCGTGTGTGTGTGTGTGTGTGTGTGTGTGTGTGTGTGTGTGTTGTGTGTTCACCTGCGTGAGTATGTATGTGGAGGCCAGAGGCCAATGTCAGGTGTAGTCTCTCATTCTCCATCTGCCCTTCTTTTGGAGACAGAGTCTCTCACTGAAGCAGCAGCTCACTAATTTGTCTAATCTAGCTGGCTATCATGCTCAAGGATACTCCTGTCTCCACCTCTCCTGCACTGAGATTGCAAGCTCAGTACGAAAGGAGACTGAACTTGGGTCCTCAAGCTGGCATAGCCAGCACTTTATTGACCAATCCATGCCCTAGACCCTCCTTTCTCCATTTTTAATGACTCACTGTGTTGACAGGTGCTGCTCGGAGCAGCAGAAGAAACCATTCGTGGGATTTCTTCCCACCTGAGATGTTCATGCTGCCCGTTGACATGGAAGAGGTGAGTGGATCTTTTCAACCACTTTTGGTAGTGTCTCTCAGATGTGAGTGTGGAAACCACCCCATTGAGGCCCAGCCAAAGGGTTCTTTTCAGTGTTTGATGGAGGCTGCCAGAAGTTTTCCAGTACCATGCTCAGTTGCCCATGACTGATGAACTATGTCAGATACTGGGCCCCACCTACTGAGGATGTTCTAGCAAAAGAAATTAAACTTGGTGGCTGGGCATGAAGCTCAGTAGCAGTAGACTGACTGCCTAGCATATGTGATGTTAAGTTCAATCTCTAGTCCTGGAAGTGAATTAGTTCAGTTTGGTATATCTGTGTCTCTGGGTGTGGGTTTTGTCGTTGTAATTTAGTTAAATCAACAGTTTAGCGTATCTACATTCGAGTCGCTCAAATGGCACTTCCCCAGTTTTGAAATCTGATCCACACTCCAAAGGAAAGTTGATTATGCTCCTATTTGAACTGACTTTTTTTCTCTCCCGGCAGGAAAATGTTCACTTTTATGCTGCAGACATGATTATCTCAGCAATGGAGAATATGAAATGCAACCTCCTGAGTCAACAGCATCCAGAGATCTGGGGCACAGAGGAAGTCAGCGGGTCTCATGGGAATGATCCGACTCATGATGAAGTGGCCTTTTATACCCTCGCACAGCAAGAGCCAGGGTCCTCCACTTCTTCAGACAGTGGCTATGAAGGCAAGTCGGGCAAAGGCTTGGATGCTGAGTGTTGTGATCTCCAGGCCCGCTGTCTGTCCTCTGTCCAGTCCTGAAGGTGGGACATTTTTCACTCCTTTGAAGATGTGATGATCCCACGGTCCATTGGCCACATACACCTCAGATTAGCCAGGAATGTGACAATTCAAAATCTGAAACTAACTTACAACATTTTGAGGTGTGTGTGTGTGTGTGTGTGTGTGTGTGTGTGTGTGTATGTGTTATTTTCAGTGAGTCAATTTTGAGGGTCTTTGGTGTGTGCTGTGTTGGTGATGTCATTTTGCGGTATGAAAAGTTAAGCATGTGTGAATGACCTTACGATTGGTGCTCATACACCACCCTTTGGCCAATGCTGCATTTCCTGTTTTGTTTTTCATTGGATTTCATTCTGCCTTTTCATGGTTGCTGTTGTCTTCTGTCTTCCTTCATTTTCTATCACATAGCATTCTCCTAGCTTTCCTTCCACATTTTTTCCTTGCCTAGTGGCCCTCTTTCATTTAACAAACAATGAACCTGTCATGTGCTTGGTGATGGGACTCAGTGGTAGTAGGACACACTGTGTCTTAGTGTTTCTATTGCTGTGAAGAGATACCATGACCATGGCAACTTTTATAAGGAAACATTTAATGGGGTGGCTGGTTTATAGTTTCAGAGGTTTAGTCCATTATCATCATGTCAGACAGACATGGTGCTGGCTATATCTTGATCAGAAGGCAACAGGAAATGGACTGTGACACTGGGTGGTATCTTGAACATAGGAGATCTCAAAGCCCACCACCCCTACAATGACACACTTCCTCCAATAAGGCCACACCTACTACAACAAGGTTATACCTCCTAATAGTGTCACTCCCTGTGAGGTTATGGGAGCCGATTACATTCAAACTACCACACTGTCTTTCCCTAGAGAAGAAATGCAGAGCTAGGGCCAAGGAGGCAAGAGGAATAATACCTTGCAGAGGTGAGAGTCCAGCCCAGTCACTAGTCAAGGACAGCTGGGAACCCAGGGAGTTCCTTCTGGAGGAAAGGTCACCAAAGCTGGCAATGAATGTTAGCTTTGACACTTTGCATCCATTTCTTAAAGCAAGCCCTGTCTTCAGCCCCATCCCCCATATCTACCTTTGGGCAGATTTTGTCTCCATCAGTTGCTTCCTTTTGGTGGACACCTCTGAGAGACCTGTGCTTTCAGCCCTGAGCTTCTCTTTCAAGTATCTCTCTATACCTGTTTAACTTGCCCAATTGATGGCTCCCCAGATCCTCTGACTTAACACTCTTCCTGTATGGCTTAAGATACCCCATTTTCTCTGTTTCCTGTACAGTCATATCTTTAGCTTCCACGTGGGCATAGTTAACCTCTAACTTAACATGTCTACACCATTCATCTAACAATTCTTCACAACCCCTTCTGGGGACGGGAGAGTATGGCTTGACTTGCCCTTCTGTCTGTATAGATTCTATTGCCAAATAAGGTCACATTTACGTGTTCTAGGTGGACACGAACTTTGGAGGGACATGACTCAACACAGTATAATTATGTGTCTCGTAATATGTATTTCATGGCCAGGTTTGCTTTTTTAGTTTTATTTTGCCTTTGTTAGTTTTATTTTAAACTTTGTATTATACTGGGGAATTTTCAAACATATCTAAAAGTAGGCAGATTGCATCATCCTATTCCACCTAATTACAGTGAATGAGAGACCCTAAACTAGCTTCCTGCTGTTTTTAATCCTCGAAGCTGCAGCTTTAGCTCTGCCACCCACCCACTTTCTGTCGTCTGGGACATATGCTGTTCGTTTCCCCTTCCTCGTCATCTTCTTCTTCCTCTTCCTTCTCCTCTCCTCCCCGCTCTTCCTCACTGTTCTCCTCTTCTTCTCTCAAAAGTGTCTTACTGTATACCAGACTGGTTTGAAGGCGCACTTCGCCAGCCTTTACCTCCCAAGCACTGACACTGTAGGTGGCTATCACCACGCCTGATGCCATTTTTTTCTTGCAATACTGTGATTGAACTCAGGGCCTTGTGCATGCCTGGTGGGTGTTCTACTCTTATTTTTGGTTGTTTTGTTTTTGTTTTTTGAGATAAGTTTTCTCTGCATACCCTTGGGTAGCCTGGAACTCCTCTGTAGACCAGGCTGGCCTTAAACTCAAAGATCTGCCTGCCTCTGCCTGTGGAGTGCTGGGATTAAAAGTGATTGCTACCACTGCCCTGCAGGTGTTCTACTCTTGAGCTGCTTGCTTCTTGTGGTATTCATGCATATGTGTTTAAACGTGTATGTAATGGTACGTAGAGGTAGTCAAAGGACAATTTTGGGTGTCAGGAAATGTCCCCTTGGTTTTTTGTTTTGTTTTATTTTTAGGTAAATTCTATCACTTGGCCCAGAACTCTCTGCTTAGCTCACCTCCCAAAATCCACCTGCCAACCCCACCCCTACTCCTTCCCATCGCTGGGATTATAAACTCAAGCTACCATGGTCAGTTTTTTTCTGTAGTTCTGGGAGTTGAACTCAGGTCCTCGTGCTTGCACAGATGCTTTGCTGACTGACCCATCTCTCTAGCTTCTGTCTCACTTCCTGGTGATGAAATCTGTCTTCCTTCTTTCTTCAGGTTGTGGTGTGCTCCAGGTCAGCCCAATGACGGAGAAACTTTCTTACTCTCCTGTGGCGAGAGAGGCCTGCAAACATGACTTGGATGAATTCGTTACATTAGGTGAGATTTAGAGCCTCCTTGCTTCCAACTCCCTCACATACCACACAGGGATGCTTGAGGAAAGCTCTCCCAGGATGAAGAGACGGAGAAACTGTTTCCTTGTCTCTAGCATCTTGGTAATTGCTCATCTCACTTGTAAGAGCTGAACAAAAATGCAGATATTCATTAGATCTGCTATGGGGTTTTGATGAAGTTGATGTAAACATCTCATCTCTGGTGGTTATCTGGAGTCTCACACTGATGTCCGTAGTTGATTAGCCACTGCAGCTTCCCTGAATCCAGGGACCTTTTTGATTGTATTCTTATAATATTAACTGAGTGAGACAGGCTAAAAGGCCCTATCATCCTTTCTTTCATTTTCCCACAGAACTTGGGGAATGTAATGACATCACAGAAAGCAGCAGACGCCCCTGCAACTCTTTAAAGAGGTACACGTCCTCCTGTGCTTATACACATTGTCCCCCGGGGGTTTCTTTGGAGTCACCATGTATATTGTGACACTGACACTGGATATTGTGGCCAGGTTAGCCACAAACGGTGATCCATGATGGCTTGTGTTAATTGTCAGCTTTACAGAATCCAGAATCAGCCAAGAGTAGGGCCCCCCAGTATGCCTGTGGAGATTATCTTGACTATGTTAATTGATGTGGGAAGACCATGTTAATTACGGGTGGGACCATCCTACAGGCAGGGCAACCTGAACCATATGAGTGAGGAAAGAGCTGGGCACTAGCATGCATGTATTCATTGCTCTCTTCTGATTGCTTGTGTAGTGTAACGAGCCACCTTAAGGTCCCAATGCCTTGACTTCTCTACCATGGTGGATTGTCCCTTGAAGATTGAGCTAAAATAAATCCTTCTTGACAGTCTAACAGAAAGCAACCTGGTCCTCTGGCTCTATCAATTTTCCAGCCCCTTCTTCCTGAGCCTTAGGTGTGGGAGTCTTTGTAGATGTATCCATTAAGATTGGGCACCACAAGTCTGCATTCTGATTGGCTGTAGTTTTCTGTAGTGGTCTCTGTCTATTGCAAAGAGAAGCTTTCCTGACAAGAAGCAAAGACTATACTTTTTAGGACAAATGGTTATAGATTGTTGTTAGGGATTATGCTGTTTTGGTAAGTTAGTGGTGGAAGGAAGAAAGGGAAGGGAGTAGTCTTATAATCATAATATCAAAAATTTAGCCAGGCCATGGTGGTGAACACCAGAACTTGGGAAGCAAAGGCAGATGGATCATGGTGAATTCAAGGCCAGCAGAGTATACAGAGTGAGTTCCAGGACAGCCAGGTTTACACAGAGAAACCCTGTCTCAGAAAACAAAAAACAAACAAACAAAAAAAAGAATTAAAAAATAAAATAAATTCTCCTTTAAGTTAATTTTTTCTGAGGCTTATTTTGTGTGTGTGTGTGTGCCTGTGTGCGTGTGTGCGTGTGTGTACATGGATGTTTTGCCCCTTAGGTTACTTTTATCATTTTATCTCAGCAACAGGAAAAGAAACTAAGACAGGCCTGTCACCTACAAGTCAGTTGGCCACCTCCACAATAGCAGCTTTGTTCGCTATGATAAAATACCTGAGACAGCTAACTTACAGAGAGAAGACTTATTTGTCTTTGCAAACTCAAAGGCATGATAGTGTCATTGACAGTGATGTCAGTGTGTCTTGGGAATATCATGTCAGGATCAAGGGTAAGAGGGAATGTTCCCACCATCCTTTGTAGTTACTGCCCTGCTACAGACCTCCTGCTAAGTTCCACCTCCCTAAGCATCAATCATCTCCATGGGAGCCACCCCCTTAGCATCTGGAACTTTGGAGGATACTGCCCATATTCAAAGCACAGCACCCCCAAAGTCACTGGGTGTTATAATGTGGGAAAGGCTATTTGTATATGTGTAGTAAGCTTTCTCGTTGAGACTGCCAGCCCACAAGTAACGACACAGAGACTTGTTAGTAATTATGAAAGCTTGGCCTTAGCTTAGGCTGTTTTTCTAGCTAGCTCTTTTAACTTAAATTAACCTACTTTAATTAATCCACATTATGCCGCATGGCTCGGTTACCTCTACTCTGTGCTGTATGCCCAACCTCTTCTGTATCTCCCTTGTGTCTCCTGCATGGCTAAATTTATCCCTCTGACTTCCCCTCTCTGCCTGGAAGTCCCACCTATCCTCTCCTGCCTAGCTATTGGTCATTCAGCTTTTCATTACACCAATCACAGCAACACATAGTCACACAATGTGCAAATATTCTGCAACATATATGTCTTCATCTAACCACACAGGGAGGCTAGGAAAGTTTTACATATGTATTTGTGCATTTATTTAAAAAAAAACTTAAATTATTTATTTTATGAATGTTTTACCTGCATGTATGTATGTGCACCATGTGCATGCCACATGCCCATGGACATCAGAAGAGGGACTTTGACACCCTGGAACTGGAGTTATGGATGGTTGTGCGCTACCATGTAGGTGTTGGGACCGAATCCGGGTTCTCTGTAAGAGCAATAAGTGCTCTTAACTGCTGAGCTATCTCTCCAGCCCCTGTGAATTTATTTGTAACCCTGTTTTATAGACATGGAAACTAAGGCTTATAAAAGGATGTCACAGTGCCTCCACCCCTTTGACAGGGTCTCACTAAGTAGCTACAGCTGTCTTGGAACTTGCTAGGTAGACTAGACTGGACTTGAGCTCTCAGAGATCCCCCTGCCTCTGTCACCCCAGGGCTGAGATTAAAGAATGGGTCAGTCTCATCATGCTGTTTAACATCAGAAGATAGATTTGAACTCTGGTTTTCTGACTTTAAATCTAGTGCTCTTTTCCACCTGACTGTATTCCTTGTGCACAGTTGTTCAGCTTTTCTTTCTCTCATGTTTCAGTGTGACTTGTGAGCCAGAATTCAGTCCTGCTGGGCTGTTAGCCAGAGAGTTGTTCCGAGGGTTCTGGAAGAGCCAGGTGCTGTTGGAAGTCAATTCTCAGCTGCCAGTCACCCTGACAGCAGCCAGCTCAAGAGTAAGTATGGAAGCCAGTAGATGTGGAATGAGGCGTTCTTAATTTCTCACTGGGCCTGCTCTATTCAAATATTTATGTTTCCTCGTATGCTTTATAGGTGTCCTGGAGGTCTCAAAAGGACTCTCAGCACCCATTAAACACCAGAGAATGTACTTACCAGTTCACGCCATGGTGTTACTGTTCTGTGTAGCCCAGGCGAGTCTCTAATTTATAGAGCCCTCTTATTCCGGCTTCCCTAGCGCTGGGATTACAGGCTTACTAAAATGTTGCCATCCTCCCAAGTATTCTGAGGTGTTGCTCTCATTTCTGCTTCTTATTAGTCTTATTTTAAAATACTGGACAGACCTTAGCAGGGCAGTGGGCAGGACAGATCAGTGATGAAGCAGGTGTCACTCACAGACACGAAAACACACAAGGCTTTGCTTGCAGGATATACTGTTCTCAAAGAACACGAAATCCCCTGCTGGTAGCAAGTGAAAAAACAAAACAAAACAAACAAAAGCACAACCCTCTGGAAGGGCCAGGGTGGGAGGGCATCTAATTCTATCAGAGGAACTTAAGAAAGCTGGCTGGAGAGCTTTGATCTGACTCAGGTGTTAGCCAGGTGGTGCTGGGGCCACTAGACCCTGTGGGGAAGTGTTCTTAGCAAAGGCCATTGGAACACAAATGGCGAGCAGAGACACTTAGGTGTGGTAGACAGCGGGGGCAGGGTGGGAGTCATGGGAACAGGCTTGAATGATAATGGCCAAATTGTGGAAATTTCTAGATTGGAGGAGTCTGGGTTTTAAATGACAATAGGAAAATGTAAGATTTTACAGTGAGCTGTTGAGCTTTGTAAGCTAGGTTCTGCCACAAGACCATGGCAAAGCTCTGACTGGCTGTTGCTTTAGTCACTGGAGGCTGCTTTGGTCATGAGGGAGCATCCCTGGTTAGAGTCCTTTCACCACATGGGAAGTCTGGAAACAAATGAGCTAAAAATACTAAAGCAGGCCGGCTCAGGCTCAGTGGTGAAGAATGCTGCTGTTCTTCAACGTGTCGAGTTCCCAGCACCTACAACAGGCAGCTCACAACTGCCCTACAGCTCCAGGGGATCTGACGCCCTCCTCTGGCCTGCACAGGCACCACACACACAATCAACAACAACAACAAAGGGAGGGGAGGGGCTCATCTGGAATGTAGAGGACCTGTGCCAAGTCCTTTAGATCAGCTAAAACCAGTTCCAATTTCTGACAGTAAATTTGAATGGGAAACACACTTAAGAGTCTTTTCAATTAACCCCCCTGAAATGTGATTGCTGAGGTTACCCCATGTGCCACGCAGGTTGAGAATGAAGAGTGTGCTGGAGAAGACTTTAACTCCAGTGTGGATGCAACACAGGAAGTCATGCCTAAGTCTAGGGTCCCAGGGGCTGAAGACTGGGTGCCCCCTGGATTTCAAATCATACTTAGTGTTCACACTCCAGTCAGGTAAGTGTGGGGTGCTGTCAGGAATCCCAGGTTCTACTTGGAACATGTGATGGGTCCCACCTGATTCCTATGGAAGCAGATACAGAAAAAACAATGTGTTAGGGACAAAGGAGATGGTTTCTGCCTTAGTTTTAGCACTCTGCTGTGAGTTTTTCAGGAGAAGGCAGGATTCATAAGGATGCACAAGTTAAAAGTATAACTCTCCCTCCCCAGTTACGAACATTCCATCACACTTGTAGATTAAATAGGCCCAAAGAGGATTTTAAGTAGCTAATACAGAAACAAAAATCAAATGCAATGATTTAATGTGATGAGACCATTCGATTTTCCAGACGAGCTAGTGGGCAACTAAAAGAACAAGGAATGCATAAAAGTTTTAAAAGAAGAATTTAATCTCAAGGAGATAGCCCATAGTTGAGAAATGTAGCAGGACATAGTAAAATCTCTATTCAATAAAATCACAGATGCTCTGAGACAGCTAGAATTATAAAGGGACCAAACTTATATAGAGTGTGTATATGTGGCCATACAAACTGTGTGTACATAGTAGTTTAATTGTAATTTGTTCTGAGAGTAAGTAATGGTTACAGATAAAGGTTACTGGCAACATGTTTTAATCACATGCAGTTTTTCTGTTCTCTTGGTCTCTCATGAAAACTTCAGGGCTATGGAGCAATGTTCCCTGTGTTCCACAGGGGTCTCTCATGCACCATATCTGTGCCTACATCTTTCCTCTCAGACTTAGTGGATCCCAAGAAGTGTGCTGCAACTGCTTGGGCAGAACTTGCCCTCAAGGCACTGCGGACAGGCCACTTTCATTGCACAGGATGTCTTTTCTCTCAAATTTCCCAGAATCCTCTGTAAGACATATGGATGGAGATTTAACGTATTTTTTTTAACCTTGGCAACTTTTGTTGACTTTGAACTGCAATAAAAATGTAAATTTACCACTTTGCCCATAATTCTAGGTCACTGTTGAAATCAGGTTACAGCTGTTCCCAGAACACCCTTCGCAGGAACATTTGATAACTTTGCCTTGTGTCATCTCTTATTCTAATGTATATTGTATTTATTCATGTGACCTTTCCAAGCATGTCAGACTGTGTCATGTCTCCTTGGCTGTCTTTAGTGTACCTCTGGCCTCTGTTCATGGGCAGTGGGAAACCCCAAGGACCCTATACTGGAAGAGTTCTTTGTGACACTGACTTCTAATTTGGGGACAATTGAGACTTAAAGAGTCCTAGCTTTAGAAAGCCCACAGGTTTCAACTAGAAGGCCATATTGGATAAATATAAAATTTTCTCAAAATGAAAAAAGTGACAGGATTAAGGACCCCAAGCCAAGGAGCACACCACATTGTCAACTGCATTTCTATCAATGAACAATGCTGCCTAGACCAGCACTGAAATGTGTAACAGTTGCGATTTTCTGTCCTCAGGAGGGACATGGCCGTAGTGGCCCAGAATTTTTTTTGCGCTGGATGTGGGACTCCAATACTGCCCAGTAAGTATGGGGCCTGCGCCGCTGGCTTGTTACGTGATAACAGAGTGAAGATCCCCAGAGCTGGACAGTGTACTACTTTGGGTGAGACAGGAGACTTTCTGGTGTGAGTGCGTTGTGAAGGACTCCTGGAGGTGGTGCTGTTTTTCACTAGGAGGCCATCATGCCCCACTAAGGGGCATGACGAGCCAGGAGCCAGGAGGACCAACATCCTTCCTGCTTCCCATTAGGTTGGAGAACCCAAGCACTGCATCAACATATTTTATTAGAGAAATTTCAGAAGCACCACGTGTTTGTTTTAGCAGATTCAAAAGTGCAAGAAACAAATAGTTTTCCCCATGCTGCAGAGATGTGCATTGTTAGCTTTCTTTTTATCTAGGTATTTACTAGATTTATAAAGAAACTCTTTTTTGAGGCTACATCCTAACACTGTGTGTATCCTGCTTTAGAATGTGCTTGTCATATGTGAGCTATCCCTGAAACCTCTGTGCTACATTCTGTTAGCCTAAGAGATTCTGAACTGTCATTGGAGTTCCTGTCAGTAGCAGGTGGCATCTGCACACTCCTCCAGATTCCTAGGCTCTACATGGAATGTTCTCACTGCACTGCAGTTTGCTGCACCCATTTTCCAAGAGTGTTTGGGAGGGGGGTCTGTTTCTGTGGCATCTATCTTATCACAGCAAAGTCACAAATGGCCACAAGTGAAATCCTCAGGTCAATGTCACGGCTATGCTGCCTGGCAGTTGAATCTGGTGTTGTCACTGTGAACAGTGATCTGAGTCTGAACCTTGCATAGGAGTGGGGAGGTGGTCTAGGGCAGATTCCTAGCATCATAAACATGGTCTCACTCTCCTGCCCTCTACAGAGTTTGTGAAGCGGCTCCGGTACTGTGAGTATCTGGGGAAGTACTTCTGTGACAACTGCCACTCAGCTGCAGAGTCCTGTATCCCTGCCAGGATCCTGATGATGTGGGACTTTAGGAAGTACCAAGTCAGCAATTTCTCTAAATGGCTACTGGACAGCATATGGCACCAGCCTGTCTTCAACCTGCTAGGCGGGCACCACAGCCTCTATGCAAAAGCCAAGGAACTGGATAGGGTGAAGGTGAGCTGATGCCTCTCAGAGTAGGAAGCAAGGGTAGGAAGAGAGATGTCCCATGGTAGGAAATGCATGCCACTCTGGTTTCAGAGTGTCTCCAGACCCTCCGCAAGGCAGACAGACTGTAGAGTGAATGATCCCGGGGTCTCTTGCCTGTATGGGCTCTTTCCAAGGCTCTACAAACCTGTGTCCATTCAGGACTTGCGGATTCAAGAATTCAGTTACGAGACCTTGCTGAAGGGGCTATTTTCTTGAAAGTTGATTTTGTTTGCCGGCATAGTATGTCAAATAACTTTAAGGTTTGCCACACCCACTGCCAGTGGCCACACAATCTCATTCCCTCTGGTTGGCTTCTTGCCTTAGGACATCCAGGAGCAACTGTTTCATATCAAGAAGCTATTGAAGACTTGCAGGTTTGCTGGCAGGTACGATTCCCAACTGGAACACACTCTCCACTCCTCCCTCGCATGTGCTTCCTGTCCTGGCTCCCCCAGCATCTCCAGATCCTTAGGACTTTTATTCTTGACCCCTAACACTGAAGGAAACAAACAAAAGTGAGTGTGTGTTTTGTTTTGTTTTGTTTTTAAAAAAAGGACCAGGACAAGGATAAAATAAGTACCCTTGGCCAGTGGCTAGAGTATAAATAGAATGTAAATATAGAAAACACAATAGATTGTGATGAACACATGTAACAGAGATTTATCTTCCCACACACTTTGCCTGACAGTTCATGGACACTGAGGGTGTTTCCATGGTGTTGCCACCACCACTGTCCATCTACAGAACTTCCGCCTCTTGCAGAATCCACCTTTGTAAACATTCTGCCATTTCCTCCTTTCTCGTGCATCCCAGGCCTAGCAGCCCACTTTCTTTCTCTATAAATTTGATCATTCTAAGTAGCTCATGTATGCGGATAATAGAATACATGTCTTTTTATCACTGGATTCTTTCTCACGGCCCATCCATGTTGCAGCGTGTGTCAGGATTCCTTTCCTTTGAAGACTGAGTAGCATTCGGCTGTGTGTGCATATTAATTTTTTTTATTGCCCACCAAGGGGTAGGCTGCTTCTGTCTCTTGTGAGTAGTGTTTCTGTGAGGATTCCCACGGCCTACTAAATCCCCCTCACATAGAGGCAGGCTGCATGTCACACTGAGTGAGATCATGGCTTCCTGAAACTACTTCTCAATGCTTACCCTGGAGATATTCTTATAGAGATGGGAAGAAATTTAGTTAAGATATAAATTTAAAATAAGACATAACACAGACACCTACTAGGTGTTCAATAGGATAATAGTTAAATTTACAACACAGACACATTATCAAAAGCAAACACCCAATAAAGGTTGAGACATGCATTTATGGATAGAGATTTTTATGTGTGTTTGTGTGCATGTGGAGGCCAGAAGTTGATGCTGGGTGTCTCATCAATAGCTCTCCCCTTATTTCTTGAGTCAGAGTCTTTCAATTGGCCTAGAGCTCATATACCAAGTAACAAGCTCCAGTGAGCTCTGGGCATCCCCCCGTATCTGCCTCCCCAACACTGGGATTACAGGCATTAACTGCAGTGCCCAGTTTTCTGTGTAGGTTCTGGGATCTGGACTCGGGTCCTCTTCTTGCAAAGCAAGCATTTTAATGACTGAGTCATTGCTCCAGCCCCAAGAGAGCTTTTTAATAGTGTAGGTGACTCAAGAAACTGTTTCTTCTCTGGCAGTGTACTGAAGGAGTTTGGGCAGGTTCCCAGCCATCTGACTGATAACTGCCATCTGTTCTCCATGGACGACCTCCTCAGGACCAAGAAAGGCCTGCTGGCCCCCTTGCTGAAGGACATCCTGAAGTCTTCCCTTGCCCACGTGGCCAGCTGTGAGGTGAGGGCTCACCTGGGACAGGTTCCCTTCCTAGTGTCAGGATCTAGGGAGGAAGAGGTTTCTCACTTGACTTTTGACCACATTTAACTTTCAGGGCCCTGAACAGGCAGAGCATTGAATCATAGCCCTGCATTAGCTAACCAAAGTCACCTTGCTGGGATACAAGATGGGACCCTGTAGCTTCTTAGTTTGAATGTCCATACTCTGTAGGAGCCCATTCTGCCCTGAGGCAGCTATTATGGAATGTGGTTTTTGCTGTTGTTGCTATTATTCTGATCCAATTCTTCTAAAGGCCAAACTCATAGGCATTGAAAAATCGATGCTTTTTATAGTTCTGTGAAAATAGTGACCCAATTTTCCCAGCACAAGCAGCAGTGTCAACATGTGACCTTAAATGCCTTCTTTTGCAGCTGTGCCAGGGGAAGGGCTTCATTTGTGAGTTTTGTCAGAGCACAACTGTCATCTTCCCATTCCAGACCATGACTTGCAGAAGATGTTCAGGTACTTTACTTTAATAACAACAGCTCCATAATTGCTTAATTTAATTGCAAAGTAGCTAAATCACAATGCTAACTCCAATTGAATAACGCCTCAGTCCCTTAAGTACAGTTATCTCTGTAACGTGCAGTGCAGTGTGGATTGGGGGCAGTACAGCATGGGGCCCAAAGCGAGGCATATTTTGCAGGATAGGAATAAAGAATGATATTTCTTGGGGTGTTGGATGGAATAGACGCTTCCAGTTGACCTGTTGCCAGTTTTAATTAGATTACAGTTCCACCCAACACTGAATGGTTGTCTCTGTTTTTAAATCATAGTGGTAGAGTGGACCTGCTGTTACAGAGACTGTCTTAGTTAGGGTTTCTACTGCTGTGAAGAAACACCATGACCACAGCAACTCTTATAAAGGAAAATATTTTATTGGGGCTGGTGTGCAGTTTCAGAGGTTTAGTCTATTACCATTATGGTGGGAATCAAGGCAGCGTGCAGGCAGGTGTGGTGCTGGAGAAGAAGCTGAGAGTTCTATATATTGATCCACAGGCAGCAGAAGAAGTCTGTGTGCCACACTGGGTGTAGCTTAAGCATAGGAGATCCCAAAGCCTGCCCCACAGTGACATACTTCCCCCAATAAGACCACACCTACTCTGACAAGGCCACATCTCCTAATAGTGCCACTCCCTATGGGCCAAGCATTCAAACCCATGAGTTTGAACAGGGCCAAACCTGTTCAAACCAGCACAGAGATGGCTTGCCTCTCAAAGCAACATTTGTTACTGGCTCTTGTGTGTGTTTGGGGGGGGGGAGGCAGTATGTGTGCATGTGTGTGGAAGCCAGAAATCAACTTTGTGTGTCATCCCTCAGGCACAATCCATCTTTATTTTTGAGACAGGGTCTCTTACTGGCCTAGAACTCATCTATTACACTAGGCTGGCCCATAGTTCCTGGGATCCTCCTATCTCTGGCCTTTCAACACTGAGTTACAGGCATGTGTCACCGCACCCAACTTTGTATGTGGACTCTGGGGGATTGGACTCAGGTCCTCATGTTTGTGTGGAAAATACTTCAGCTAAGCAACCTCCTACGCCCAGTTATTTGTCTCTTTACAGATAAGACTGTTAAGGGAATCCCATGCTCTCTAACTTCTGTCAAATGGAAGGGATTTTGGTGGGGAACCCCACCTTCATCTTTTATGTGAACCTGGTCTCTTCATAGGATACTGTAATCTTGCAGGTCAGGGTCCCCAGAAAAAGAGATTTGAACCTGGGATTTCCAAGCTGATGGGGATATGAGAGTAGCAGACCTGGACAGGGGGAAATATTAAATAGTGGTGGGCTACAAGAAGCCCTGGGCCATCTCACAGAGCTCTGGGTGGCAGGGGATATAGCATTGCAGCATTGTTCCAACTTACAGAGGTGACCTGGTCTTCAATCTCCTTAGCAACCAGTCAGTCACTGGATTCAGGCTGGTGCCAAAAAAGGACCATGGCTTTGGATGAGGCAGCTCTGTCCATTTAGAGACATTTCAAGAGAATCAATGCCACCTAGAAAGAGCGATTAGCTCCCAAGTTAAGACTAGGGGAATTGCCCCTAGTGCTCGGGCTGATCTAGAGGTATGTGACATCAAATATATCTACCAGGTTCTTGGGCCTTGTAGTCAAGAGCAGTTGAGTAACTGATAGTCCTAAGTTTTGGCATGGTTGATTTTTTTTCTTTTCTGTAAGACCCTGTGTTCTGGAATCAGGTAATCAGATTCCCAGACCCCACACCATGAGAAATTATGGAATGAGAAATTAAGGAATGCATTTGCTGACCACTGATCCCCTTGCTTGCAGGGTGCAGGGCTTGCTTTCACAAACAGTGTTTCCAGTCTTCCAGATGCCCCCGCTGTGCCAGGATCACAGCTCGGAGACAGCATTTGGAGAACTTGCCCTCTGCAGCGACATGACAGTCCTGATGCATTTGTTCAAAGCGCTTTACAATGAAACCAAATTGTGTCTGCTCCTGGTAACATTGTTTCAGATACTAAATATTTGATAGTAAGAAAAAGATGACCCCAACTCTCCCTCCTGTATATATTTAATGCTTTCAAGGAGCGTGGATATTTGTTACCTAGGCTAAGGTTGTTGCTAAAGTTTTGTTTATAAATGTTTGACATTTTTTTTTTTGCTGCTGCTGGTGTTTTTAAAGAATTCTTTTTTATACTTAAGTTGTAGTGGGATAACCATTTTTAGCTAAAAACAGAACCTATTTTTTATGAACTGTAACTGACAAGGTGAAATACTTAGTTCCTCTTCCTTCAAAGCTGCTTGTGAAATGGATGGACATCGTAAGGGAAAGTGCAATGAGAATTCTGTTTGGTCAAAGCTTCATTCAAGGAAAAGACTCCTACTGAGTGTAATTTCGTGACTGTGTCAGTCTCCTACTGAGTGTAATTTCGTGACTGAGTCAGTCTCCTGTTTTATTCATTCCACGGTTTGCTCGGAATACATGCCAACTCTGCCCTTATGTTCGTTTCTAGATGACTGTTTCAGCTGTCTAACAAGGGCCCGGTGAGATGTCATTTGGAGCAGTTGCCTATAGATGGCACTGTGTTAGGAACATACATTCAGCCCCTTTGCTGTCTCTGTCCCATGCTAGTCTTGATAGTTCATGCTAAATCAAGGGAGCCAGAGGGGACAACTCCATTCTAGCCCTTCATGGTCAAGCTTCATGGGCATACAAAGAACAGATCACAGAGAATCTGAAAGCTGAGCATGGTGGCATGCAGCTGTAACCCCAGCATTTGGGAAGTAGAAGCAAAGATTAGGACTTGCTTTACTAACTGAAAGTTCCAGGCCAGCCTTGGTCACATGTAACCTGTACTCTTTTTTTTTTTTTTTTTTCTCTTAATCGGAAAGAGAATGGAATTTAAAAAAAGCAATTAAGCTTGGGTAAAATATTCTTTTTCATTTGTTTGGTTTTTGTTTTGTGAGACAGGGTCTTTCTATAAAGCCCTGGCTGACTTGGAACTTGTCTTCCATCTCTATGTCCTGAGTGCTGGGGCTAGAGGTATCTGTCACTACACTTAGCAAAAAAAGTACTTTTAAAAAACAGTGTGTTCTCAACCATAACCTAAAAAATCGGGACATCCATGAAGATCAGTAGGAAGTATGACTTTTCTCATACCTGTGATAAAATACCTGCCAGAGTCAATGTAAGGGAGGACACCACTGCCCCTAGTGGTTTCAGCCTGTGTGAGCAGGGAAGGAACAGCAGACTTCACTGAGAGGCACATGGCACAGACTCCTTCACACAAAGCAGGCAGGAAGCAGAGAGCTAGCCTAGGGCCAAGGCTAGGCTAAACCTCCAGAGGCCCGCCCCAGTGACACACCTCTGCCAGCTACACTGGCCCCAAAGGTTCCAAACCTCCAAGGTAAGAACCAAGTGTTCAAACACACAGACCCGGAGTGAGATTGGGGGTACTTTGCACATAAACGCTACGGACCAAGTTCCATGGATCAAGAAACTAATGAAATTCTTTTCCTAATGCTTCTCATAGTTACACAATTTCCTGGAAGAGGTAAGCATGCCCCCCACCCCCCCACACATACCTTTTCTTTATTTTAGGAGACTTAGTCCCTTCCTAGAATATCTTCAGGCTGACTCATTCTCAAAATGGCTATCACATTGCTTAGCACCCACATGCCCCAGGCTGAGCTTCTCAAACCACAAAGGCAGGCATCAAAGTGCTACAGATGTCTCTGGCGTCAACTGCCAGTGTCCCCCACCATCTGTGTTGGGGTGGCGGAGAGGAGACTGACTTTCAGGGAGACTGAAGCACAGAGTGTCCCCCTTAGGTCTGGATATCCTGTCAGCTGTTTTGTCTTTTATGATTCTTCCAGGGCTCTGGCCACACTATTATTTAAGCAAGAGCCTCTTTAAGTAGAAATATGGGTGCACAGGAGACAAGCTTAAACTTCAGACACTGTGTCACACTTGTCCATAGCTCATATTCTCTCTTTGTAATCAAGGGTGAGAGAGGCAAGTGTGGTTTTCTCACTCAACAGTATTCTAAGATAAATGCTGGCACCCCAATTTTCAGGTAAGGAAACTGAGGCTCTGAGAAGAGAGATAACTTGCCTGGATGGGTGGTAGAGATAGGGCTGACATTTGTGGCACGGGGTAAAGTGTTTTCTTCATTTATTCCCATGTGGAACTGGGGGACCTACTGGGCCTCGGCTATTACATGAAGTTCTGGGCTCATAGTCACTGTGTTTGTAAGGCTCGCATGTATGTGTATTTACACAGCTTTAAAATGGTACATTACATTTATTTAGACTTGTATGTTTGTGTACATGTGTGTTCATGTGTCTGTGAGCTCAAGTGTGTGTCAGTAGATCTCTCCTCTGTCAAATGGATCTCCGAGATCAAACTCGGTCCTCAGGCTTGTCAGCAAGAGCCTTAACTTGTTGAGACACCGTCCTGTCCCACACATTTGGTTTTTTTAGTGTGTCTGTGTGTGAGTATGTGTGTGCACACATCCATGCAGGTATGGGCCAGAGAAGAACTGTGGGTGTAATCTCACAGGTGCCATCCACCTCCTTTGAGACAGGGTCTCTCATCGGCTTGGAAGCAAGCCCCATGGGCCCTCTTATAACTGCCTCCCCAGCGCTGGGATTACAACTGCTCACCAACAACCTGATGCTTTCATGTGGGAATGGACTTTGGGCCCCTGTGCTGGCAAGGGGGATGCTGTATTGTCTGAGCCGCTGTGGCCCCAGACTGTGTTAGCATGGGTGATACTGAGGAAGGGCATCATTACCAGGAAATGCTGTGTTTCATTTCTCACTTGTGGAAGAATGAGATCATTTCAATCACTTAATCTGTAGCAATTCCAGGCTCCTGGTTCCTCCTCAGCATGCTAGCTGAGGGTCCTTCCCAGGGAGAGATGACAATTAAAACAGAGAAGTGATCCTGGCTCCATGACGCCCCCTACGGGGAGGTCATGAATTGTGGCACTGCTGTTTAAGGGGTTTACTCACTGGGTAGTTCTTCATCAGCTCAACTTCTGTTTCCCATCAGTCCATCAACCACTGTGAGACATCCAGTTGTACTGACTTCCTGCACTTGAACAATTCCAGTCACTTACTGTCAAGATTCTCACATGCAGACAGAGAATGGGGCCACCTGAAGCAACAGATGTGGGGTGAAGAGGGTGGGCCTTCCCAGAAACAGTCTGCTGTGCTGACCTGGCCAGGACTGTGCTTCGAATCCCACACCTGCCGCTTCTAGCTAAGTGACCTGGGTAGACATGAGGGGTAGGTGAGGGGTAGGAATGAGAAGGAGGCACCCAACAGGGCGCCTACCAGAGGCAAGGAACAGTAAGTGACATTAGGTGTAAGCAGATAATTAGGTACCGTTCATATATTAATCTTGGGGTGAGTGACCTTGCATCTCAGTTCACAATTTACAGTAGAAGGATTGGAATAATACCTACCATTGTGGGTTGATTTGTGGCCCCATGCCCCAATATGAGGGGTGAGAGGTCTGCAGATGCTCTGACACTGAGGTGCTGTCAGAATGTTGCTGGAGTGATGACAACCCCTGAAGGCTAATCAGACGCCATATTGGAGAGGTGTGAAGAGAGGAGGCTCCATGAGAGGACCAACAGCCCAGATGCGTTGAGGTGGGAGCAGCAGCCTGCTTCACCAACGGACAGGGGAGAAAGTGGAAGAATTTAGTGGGCTCCGAGAAGTAGAGCCCACAGCATGCAGTGCAGCGATGGAGAGGTGTTTGCACGCCACACAGTACAATACTACGAAAGGCTCTGAGAGCCACAGCGTGGCCTCTGCTCCAGGAAGACAGAGAAGGGATTGGGTGCTGAGTGGGCTGAGGAAAGAATGGAGGTTCACTAGCTGACACGAGGAAGGTCTACATACACCAGGGCTAAGAAAGGGAGTAGAGGGGACCCTAAAAGAGGCAGGAAGAACCAGGGCCAGATAAGTGAGACACTCATCTTAGTGTGAAGTTGAAGGAGCTCCCCAAAGCTCAACAAAAAGACAACTCAGTTCAATAGTGCTTTTAAAAGTGTTGTCGGGACAGAGGCAGGCAGATCTCTGTGAGTTCGAGGCCAGCCTGGTCTACAGCGCAAGTTCCAGGACAGCCTCCAAAACAATACAGAGAAACCTTGTCTCGAAAAACAAACAAACAAACAAACAACAACAACAACAACAAAAAGGTGATGTCAGGGGCTGGGGAGATATCTCGGTGGATGAACAGCTTCCGTGCCCTCACAGTATCGTCACTGGGGAGGTGGAGACAGGCTGTCGTGCTCGCATGTCTATATGTGCCGACCATGTGCATGTTTGGTGCATCAGATCCTCTGGAGTTGAAATTAAAGGATGGTTGAGAGCCACCATGTGGGTGCCGGAGACTGAACCCGGGCTCTTCGAGAGCAGCAGGTGTTCATAAGTGCTGTATCTCCAGCCTCATAAATACAAGTCATTTTTGTAAAGTCCAAGCGTGGGCCCACAGACTGTATGTCTAAAATTGAGTATTCCCCTCCTACTTCATAAATAAACTTTCATTGGCACCAGGAGAGAAGTTGTGGGTCTCAAACTCTACTGTTCTGCTTGGGGACGATGGCCCAGGCACAGCTTGCCCAGAGCTGACACTAGCTCCCTCCCCCTTGCACACTGGCTCTATCTCACAGTCCCTCCTTGGGACTCAGGGAGGCAGCACAGCTTACCTTTAGGAATCTAAACCGGAGGAGGGGCGGGTGGAGTCCTCAACAGCTTTAGAGGGAGGCTTGGAGCCATGTTCCAGGGAATTCTGGGTTCTCAGATGCCCACAGCATTGTACTAAAGAGGAATGGAATTGTGGGTGAGCATGGACCTTTGTCTCTCACCTGTGAGGAGGGGCTCAGCAGGAGAGAGGCCATAGCAAAGGCCTCAGCTTCCTGGACCTCAGGAAAAGCATGATCACTGGCTAGCAAGGACAGACCTATGGACCATAGCAGCAG